TTCCTATTGGGAATTCCCCCACTGGGAATTCTGCCATTGGATTTCAAAGGAAACAGAACCATAATACTCTTTATTAATATCTAGGTTTTTCTGTCGTGGCTTTTAGGCCCCAATCCAGCCAAGCAGGAAAGCACATGTTTAACATTAAACACGTGAGCAGTCTCCATTCACATGCCGCAAGCGAAAAACGTTCCTTAGTGCTGGATCACGGCCCTGGTCGGGCTGCTCACGCCCTTCAGCTGGAGAGCTGGGCTCTGTGAAAAGTGGTGCCGAGACCCTTCACYGTGGTGGCACCGTCACATCCCCCGCTCCTTGGGCACCGCGCCCAACGGGCCATCGATYGCTCCACGGGAAAGGTCATCCCTAAGCTTTCTCAAACACAGATTTGCTCAGGTCTGTGCTGAAAATCACAATCCAGACTAATCAGTCTATCATTCTTGGTTAAAATAGCCCAGATGAAAAGACATCTATGTATCGATTTCTTTAAAAAAAATGCTTTTAACATTCTATTCTCCMCCCAAAATCATTACCTATTTCAACTTCTCAACTAGTATAAGCGTCATGTCTTTCCTGCTTCCCCTGGAATCATTAGGTCATTACAGATATCAAAATAAATGAAGACATGAAAGATTCAGCAGAAGAGCAAAATCTTACTGGAAAACCATTCCTTAATATCAGAAGCAATTCAGAAATAATAATCATATCTAGAAGAAAAATAAACCGATGCGAACGTCCCCTTGCCTTAAGGAATACATATGAGGACAGACACAAGACTGTTGAGTTATTCTGCTCTTTAAAGCATTGATCATTTTTTAAAAGTATTTCTTTGGACTTTTGGGGCTTTATATGACTACAGAATCTGCTATGCTGCATTTCAGCCACCTAAATTTTAACAATATCCTAAGATCAATTAAACTCCATTGAGACAGAAAGGAGGTTCTTTCTCACTTCCCCCCAGGGGACAGTAGTAGGAGCTGTGCTGCAAGCAGTGGCCTTTGGGGTTACCTCACAAAACAGATCAGTTACCCTAAAACATAGTGCTTAGCACTGGGAATGATTACAACTAACTTGAAGCTTTTTTTTTTTATCTCTAATATATAATATCTTATTTTTCGCTCATTTTGTTACTGACCTTGAAAATGAAGGCTACAAAAAAATCTTAAGTCTTCTATGGGCAGGGACTTCAATAATTCAGTTCATCTCTTTTTGTTAGGAGATAAAGATGCCTAATGTCTTTGTGATATATGCTGTCATTTCTCCCTGGCAGTGGCTTTGCAGCTTGTGCAAATATGGGATAAGAGCTTGTAGCCTCTAGCTGTATATGCCATACTATGACCTGATTAAGCTGTGTTATTATAAAATTCTCTCTATTGAAAATAAAATGTTTGCCAGAAGCCTTGTGTTAAATAATTTTGGAAAAGGTACTTTCTTAGTMATACCTGTACAGCAAGACGACCTATTGGCAATTCAAATAGTGTAACAGAAAATAAAATTAGCTAGTATATGAGATGCTTTACCACCTCCATATTAGGATAAGGGAAATCAATATTGGTTCCAATATGAATGGAGTGTTGGACTGAGTGAACAGGGAGCTTTGAAATAAATATCTAAGAAATGTTTGGATGAAATGGACATCTTTACAGACATTTGGTCTGCATTTCTGAAATGCAGATGATTAAATCCATATTGTTGGCTTCTTCTCCCTCTGCACTATGTCTTTCTTTACATCTTGCAAAAAATTTATGAACAAAGTTATTGTAAATCTGCAATGTCTGTCTTGTCRCTTAGATTCTTTTCAGAAATGCTTCCTTGCCAATGTAGATATACAATCCTATATGATTAATATTTATTACTTATAATTCTAAATACAATGGAAGGTCACCAAAAATACCCCGCATAAAGGAGTCTGGAGCCCTTTAAAATCTCACTGGTGATGGATCCTGGCTCTTGAAAGCTGAGCTCGAAATCTCAGCAAAACACTTTTCTATGTAGGATTTCCAGTATTTCCTGCTTCTGACTACAGCTAAAGCCAAAAAGCACAAAGGTGAGCAAAAGTTACAGATCTGAAAACATGGGCTTGGATTTCAAACACAAACAAAGGTCAGAGAATGCCTGAACCTGTCCATAATCTTGGATCAGCTTATTACAGGGTTATGAATAAAATGCAAAGSTAGGCTGCAGAGCCAGACTTGAATTCCCACAGATCAGGCACTGTAGCTGATCAGAAAACTGTTTCATTTTCCTCTTTTTCTTCATATCCATCAATACACCTTAGCCGAATTTATGTGGCTCTTATTGGAAAATGAAAATATTTAGGTTTTGTATAAGTAATTAAAAATAAGGTAGCTTGGGGATTTTCAGCTTTTATAACAAAATTCTACTGATATTTAACAAACATGCAAATCACCTTACAAAATGCTCACTGTGTTTAAAACTCATTTTTTTGTTATAAACATAATTTGTAAACATCAATTTAAAAAAAAAAAAGATGTAATTTAAGGTTGCTAAGATCAATTGATTTTGATTTGGCCCTCTTTTAGAAAAATGAAATTAGGATATACTAGAACATTTTGGAATCACAGATTCAGCAAATTGGTGAAGAGTCACAGAGCTGGAAGAATTCAGGAGAGATTCTGCATTGGTTCACTTACCCTACCTGAGATCTCCTGCATGTTTGTATAGTCTTTAAGGAGCAATGTATAATAAGCACAGAGCAAGAAGCTACAACTACCTCTACTTCTTCAAAGATCACTAGTAATGGCGATTAAGCAAAACCACTAATTAAAATACAAGCTTGGAACATGACAACTGAAAAAAACGGAGATTCCATTGATCAGCAGGCTCTTAGTCACACCGTACTGCAAGTAAAAAACCCAGGTGACCGTCAACTGGAAAGCAGGCTTTTCATTAGAAACAAATTTGCAGAGCACTGGCAATATTACTTTGTTAAACAGACAGAACCATCTAGACCAGCGTGCCGAGCAAAAACAAAAACAGAAAGACAGATAGACAGGACTGAGTCAATTAAAATAAATAAATAAATAATCAAGTTAATTTAACAAAAAAATCATAAATAATTCCAATCTCATGAAGAAGTTGTTTCTTTTTTTTTTTTTTTTTTTTTTCTTTCCTTTTAGCAAGCCATATATGCTTATCCAGACATATTTAATCTCATTAGGCTTCTTTGGCTGTTATTAGTGTTCTCTGAGCCAGCTGATTTCTCAGCAATATTTTAAAGACTGTGAGTCTTTGCCCTCCAGTCTAGCCATTGTTAAAATGTCCCACTCTTTGGGAAGACGTGGGAGTTCACAGATTTTCTTCCAAGGTTTGGGAAAGTTCAGACCAAACTGATGGCTCCCTGTGAAACAATCAGCTACGAAGTGTCTTCATGGTCAACAAGCAACATTCTGCTTGTGGAACAGCAGGATAATCTCACCAAATCAAGAGAACTGCTTCAGATCTTCATGAGCACCTTAGGGCAGAAGCAAGTTTTATAATGTGCCTCCAATCCTCCAGGTTTCTGTGTGCAAACAAATGGGTCTGTTGCAATGTTCCCCCATGCAGCGTGGGCTTCCCCTGGCAATCAGGGCAGTTCTTCACTGCTCTGATCAGAAGAGGAACCCCTACATGCTAGAGCTCAGCTTTATTTTATTATTGTATCTTTCTAAACAACTATAAATCCCCTCAAATTGAAAGTTGAGAGTCATGTACACTCTTGTACATATTAGGGCAAGTGAGTTTCACACAAAAGAGCTGTCATTCTACATTTGTTAAATTAATGGGAGGCTAGTCACTAGTTTAAAGCAGATAGATTGCATTATGCAGATACTAGATACAGGACAAAATAATTAGCTTTTGAAAGCCAACTGCCATTCAACTTGGACTGATAAATCCTGGAGGAGTGTGACAAAGGTGCCATGCATGGATTTCTGCTGGCATTTTTGCCAACTTGCTGCCTGGGAATGTGCCGCTTTTAGCCTGCTCTCCTTGAGACTCACAGAACAAGGTGTTCTCTAGAAAGGAAGATGAGTTGTTGAAAGTGGCCCATCCAGAGCACAAAGCAGACAAGAGTGCTTCTCCTGTCTGAATGTGTATGCAGCAATATATTTCTTCTGCCCACCCAAGTTTCCCAAAATAGCATTATAAAAGAATCAGCAACTGTTGGGGCAACAATATCCTACGTRGTTTGTATAGCTGTGCCAATCAGCCTATTCATTTAAGTTAATACATTGCACACGTTACTGTTGGGTCTCAGTGTTTCTACCAACTTCCAGATCTGCTGGGATTATTAGCACCACTCTTCCAAGGGTCACCTGCTCAATATTCGTCTAAATGTACAGATCCAAAAGCAACAAGTAAATTTTAAGCAAAGTAGCATCTGCAAATCCAACGTGTTCATCAGGCTTTCCCCACTTGCACCAAGCTAAAAATAAATATCTTATAACTTCKGGGCCTGTTAAGAGAGAAGATGCATTTCAGAAATGTTTGTAAATACAACTGCTAAGAGAATGTCTCTTTTGGGGTCAATTTTTTTGCCCTCACTCATATTTTGCCCTGCTTCAAGGATCCCAATAGCAGTGGATAGATCACACTAGAAAAAGGCATCCTTGAAATAACCTAGAGAAGAATYAGTTTGTGTTGTTATTCAATGACTTATTTGAAAATTCAGCTATGATCTTATTTTAAAAACTTCAAATAAAACAGGGGGTGAGATACTCCAGCATGAAGCAAGAAACTAATAAGGTGGACTCATTTCCAATACTGATTGTGAATAATACTAGCTGTGCCAGATATTARTGGGGAGTGGGCAACTCCCCACTAGAGTTGCCTTTGCTTTCTCCAGTGAAAAACAGATTTGTCCCAGATCAATATACTTTTTACARGTGGAATCATAGGGATGCTGACCAGATACTATAATGATAAGAATATCTTAAGGCAACAAGGATAAGAGTCTGTAAAATGGGTATCTCTCTGTGATATGGAGCCTCTGCCAAGGTCAGTTAGGACTTGCTGAGCCGCTTGGCCACATCTGCGTAGGCTTGCTCGATCTCTTTGTCTGCAGCACAGGTATTGGTGAACTCATCTCTGGCATAAGCGTTCTTCAGATACCGCCACAGCCCCGTCATCTCTGTTGGGAACTCAAAGTTGCGATATTTCTTTGCAACAATCTAAAACAAAGACAAAACAGAAAATAAAAGCAACCTGCTGGTGATATCTCTCTTCACTCTTTTTTTTTTAAGACAGCTTCTTACTATTTCTTTTCATACATTTGCACAGGAGATAAATGCCTATAGGCTTAGAGGCTTATAAAAGAAGATTTTGAAAAGTGACCATTGTTCCATCCCTAACTTGCAAACGTGCTACTTGGCCCAAGCACATACCAGTGCAATTGCCCGGAAAGTATGATCAAATTAAGGCCTTTCTATGTTACCTGAAGATGTAATTAATTTTACTATAATATTTTTGGCCGTTTAAACCATATTTATGTAGGTGTTGGCTGAGGTGCCAAATGAGAGCCAATCAGCTGAAAGCTTAAAAGGAAGATAGATTGAAGGTAAAGGTATTAGTAAGAACTAAAATAAATGTGTATTTTGCTTGGCTGGTGATGTCAAACAATTAAATCCCCTACAGCTGTTAAAAGTATCTATCCACGATTATGTACAGGAAATATCCTGGGTGGTATGGGTACCATGATGGAGAAACTAAGATGATTTAGCAAATGTTAAAAATAAAATTATGAGGATAAACTGGGGGAAAAAGTGATTATTTAAAGACTTGTTATACTAGGAAATAATCTATCAAGGGAAATTCTCAATTACTAAATACACTCATGTCCTTATTCAGCAAAATATTTAAGTGCATACTTTATTTTAAGCACCTGTATAATACCACTGAAGTCACTGGGACTCATTTGTGCTTAAAGTTAGTTGGCTGGTTAAGTAGCTTGCTGGATTGGGACATTTCAGTTTTCCTGTAAGAATTTAACATACCAGACAACCGTTCAGTGACGAAATGAAATAGTTGATAGGAAAAGATGGATTAGCTAATTTAATGAATGCTTCCAATCTGTAATTTTTCTGACAGTAAAAAATTATTCCTGGGCATAAATTACATACATATGTGCCATAAAGTTCCCCTATATTTTTCAAGTACATGGTAGATGCACTTTAGAGTACATTGTAGATGTACTTGTCCCATTGGCCTTCCTGGCCTGCATCAGGAGGAGTGTTGCCAGCAGGTCAAGGGGGAGGATCCTGCCCCTCTACTCAGCTCTAATGAGGCCGCAGCTGGAATACTGGGCACAGCTCTGGGCTCCCCAGTATAAGAGGGACATGGAGCTTCTCAAGAGGGTCCAGCGGAGAGCGACAAAAATGATTAAAGGACTGGAACATCTCTCATATGAGGAGCAACTGAGTGAGTTGGGCTTGTTTAGCTTGGAGAAGAGAAGGCTGAGAGGGGATCTGATTAACATGTACAAGTTCATGAAGGGAGAATGTAGAGAGGAAGGGGACAAGCTCTTCTCATGGGTGGCCAGTGACAGGACAAGGGGTAATGGGTGTTAAGTTGAAACACAGGAAGCTCCATTTTCATGTGAGGAGGAACTTCTTCACTGTGAGGGTGCCAGAGCCCTGGAACAGGCTGCCCAGGGAGGTTGTGGAGTCTGCTTCTCTGGAGATCTTCCAAAACCACCTGGATGCCGCCCTGTGCCCTGTGCTCTGGGTGTCCCTGCTGGAGCAGGGGAGTTGGACAAGATGATCTCTAGAGGTCCCTTCCAACCTTGAATGTTCTGTGATTCTGTGATAGATCTGTTATCTATCTCAGGTTTCCTAGGACAGTCATGTTCTCAGAAATGATTATGATTTGTTTTTCTTACCATGATCCGTTTGGCATAAGCAAGGCCAAATTCTGTCTAAACTGCATTTAATTCAACATTCTTGACTTCAACAATATTACACACACACACATAGGGAAGATAAAACTTGCTGAGCAATTTAAGTCGATATTTTCACAATTTCCAGCAAGCACTTTTCATCAAATGAAAAAGTCTTCATAATTTACCTTTCTCTTCTGCCTGTAAAACACTTTTCAGACAATATCCTATGGTTATTATGGTTCTCCCATTTGAGAAAATTTTTAATTCTCTTTTGACATCTTTCTTTTTACCTCAGGCAGTCAGGAAGTAGTAAGGGATCACATATAGTTTTGCATTGTCTGACTCACGGTTTTACATTGTCTCACTCCAATGTCGTGAGTGAAGCTGAGCCAAAGAAAAAGCCAAACCTGTGAGGATATTATCACATTTCTTAACTGGAGACTTGCACATTTTTTTATTTCTTTCTTTTTCTTTATACATGTGTTCAGACAGCTCACATGGCTCAGTTTATGCTTTGGCTTATGCAGTCAAATTAGATACATGATTTGGCTTTACTTCCTAGCTTACTTAATTGACAAGGTCAGCCAGGTACTTGCTATATTCTACAGAAACATGTTATCTGATAAATTAAGTAAGTAGAACACTTAGAAGGCAGCATGATGTACATCATTTGCACTATGCAAGTGACCATGTACATCAAGAATTGTGGATCTCATTGGTGATTCTGATTTGTTAACCTCCCTTTATAGAATATCAGCAGAAGCAAAACCCCTGCCAAAAGATGCACTGCTGTTCTCAAATTACAAATGCATGGGAACAGACAAAGTTTGACATCACTTTTAAGAATAATGGCATCTAACTGATACAAAACACTGCTGTTACTTGCAGCAGGGTGATAACAAGAGATGAGGACACTTCTATGTTAACAGTGTCTTTGCTGCTAACCCGTGATGTGACCTACTGTGTCATTCTGTTTCCTTCTGTACTAAGCAGCAAGTTACCTAAGTTAACCTATAGGAAATACTTAAGATGAAAACCTATGCTTCAAATTCTGATCTTCTGGGACTTAAGATGTGCTAGCTAATACACAGGTTGTCTTTATGCTTAGTTGTTAAAATGATGGAAGAAAACTTCACTCCTTTTATCTAAGCTGTGTACTTGTTCATCCATTCTAGTAAGTACAGGAGGAAAAACGTGGGTGTCACATAGCAAGGTGGTCTTCTGCACATCTCTCGGTGCACACTGAGCAGGTGGCCATGTCTCTTTACAGACTGTTTTCCTTACCTGTACAGTTAAGGTGAATTATCTTAGGAATTACTGGAGAGTCAGATCAGATCCTTATATTTTACATATACCCAAAAGAAAATGGATTTTTCAGAAAACAAGGAAAGTTAGCACTTAAAGGAATCTTTTCACATAGCATAATCCACCCTTATACTTTTGGAAAATGCCTAAAAAAAGGTGCAATACTGCAGAGGTCAGAATCATTTATGTAGAAAGTAAGTGACTGGCAGATAAAGCAGGAGCAGCATTGACTACCCTCAAAAGTACACATATCAATGAGGACACATCACTGTGAGAGAAGATTTCTTTGTCACATGCCACTTTTTACCTTAACAACATGGAGTTTGGGCAGAAGGTTGCAGTCAGCAAGAGTCAGGTCATCTCCATCCAGAAATCTGCGTTTAGACATTTTCTCCTCTTCAGTGCTGTTTGCATCAATCTCCTCAGGTAGAGGGGTTCTCAAATAGTCATCCAGCTTCTTCAAAGCCTTCACCAAACCTTTTTCAAGGGCTTTGCCAAAAAGTAATAAATGATTAGGGCAGGGTAGAAATTATTTGGGAACACAACATCATCAATGGCTATGACAATACCTGGAGAAAAGGCAAGAACCATTTCTTTGTTGTTAGTTACCTGAAGGTAAAGGCAATCTTCCAAAGGAAAAAGAAAATACAAGCAACTGCTRTGCAATGTCATCTCCTGACTAGCAGAAAAAGAGATCACGGAAAAAAAAGAATTGGTTGTCAGTATGACATTTCCTACTACACATTTGCCCTCTGTTGTTTTTTTGGTTTCTTGAGGCCATCACACAGTAAGTTGGAGCCCTATACAAATTACTTTTCCTAAGCAGCTAGGTGGGGTTCTAATGAATGGTAATTCTCTAGCATTACTTTAGCTCTAAAAAAAAAAAAAAAAAAAAAAANTGACATTTCCTACTACACATTTGCCCTCTGTTGTTTTTTTGGTTTCTTGAGGCCATCACACAGTAAGTTGGAGCCCTATACAAATTACTTTTCCTGAGCAGCTAGGTGGGGTTCTCATGACTGGTAATTATCTAGCATTACTTTAGCTAAAAAAAAAAAAAAAAAAAAAAAAAAGAGTAGTTTTATTAAATTTATACCCCTTCCAGATTAATTAAAGGCAAGAGCAATAATTCCAGTGATGCTAGTCAGAGATCTATGGTGCTGGATTCCCTCAATAAGCTGGAAGATACACAACAAGTGAAATAAAAGTAACGTGATGATAATCAAATAAAGAGCTACACAAAACAGATGAACAGATGAAACCGATTCAAATGGTTTTAACATTCTCCTTACTTTGGGTTCAGTTGGGGTGCAAATTCTCTTTTTTCATATGCCACAATAGAAAAGAGACTTTGGACCTCTCATTTCAAGAACTGTTGGAGCTGCAGCTGTACTGAACTCCATACATAAAATGTCATCTAGATATAGTAGTATACTATGCAGTAATTTTGTATTTTTTTTTCTTTTTTTTTAATTTATCAAGCTGGGCACAAAATTTTGCTTAGCATCAGGATCATACAGAAATATGACGGGTAAAAATATACTCATGGAAAGCTGAATGAAGAGTGCAAGTTATTCAAAGTAAAAACACTCTGAGGCAAGAAGGATCTTCGGCTTCTGTGTTTGAAGGGTGACTAGCATAATGGGGTTCTGGTCCAAAGTGCTAAAGCAATATGAACACGAAACAGCAAGAATTTACAATGTGAAAAAATAACAGCATGACTCATGGGCTTAGGGCCAGAATTTCAGATGGTGAAAATTACCTGCAGTGATTTATACCTGCTGCAGATCTGGATCAGAGTCAACATTTTAGGTCTAACCCTGCAAAATCTTATACCTCTGAGTAACTTACTGCCACTTAACTTAGAGGAGACTATTCAATATGTTGAGTTACTCAAGTCTTTTAARAGTATAAAGTCTATAGAGATAAATATATTTGCAGACCACAATGTAAGTTCAATGGACTGCAGAAATTGCCCCATATAGAACAGCTTGCTGGCACAGGCAGCTCATCTGGCTCCGCTCCGAGCTGCTCCTGTGCTCTTGGCATGGGAAGAACAGCAGGATGCCGGGGTTGCTCAGCGAGCAGGAGCTGCACCTACAGAACAAGCATTCCCTGCTGCCCTAACATCCATTAAACCCCATGKCAGTGGTGGAAGTCAGATTACGCTGCCCGATGTCTTACTTCCACTGAAGGCTCTTGGCCAAGCACCAAGGAGCCACACCAGCTCTTTTGGGGCTGCCTCGTAGACACAGTGGCAAATCACAGCTTAATTGACTGACTGGAGAAATGACTGCGATCCAAGTGAAAATACCCAACAAACATAGCAGGGAGGGAAAGAATTTTATGTCTGAAAGCACAGCATCTAAAGCGACTGAAGTGTTGCCATCCATAAAACAAAAGTGTTGCCATCCCTTATTTAATCAATTCAAATTGAATTTTGACACTGACATTCTGCTGTCAGATCCTGGCAGTGCTGTCCTTAATCATCTGCAGCTGTGCTCTGCTGCACAACTTCTACTGAAGAGTAATAACTACATGGTGTGTAATATATCCCCACATGGCAACACTTGAAATGTTTAGCAATATTTTTTATTTTGACCGATAACACCTGTTAAATAGATCGTTTTCCTTCTCTTGGTCAGCCTCAGACTATGTCCTCTTACAATTAACTCATTTAGAGACAATAGAATCAAATTACTGCAGTTTAATTCAATTTTGCTCTTTTGGATTTGAGAAAACTGGCTCAACACTAAGCGTTTTCCAGCATTCTCCTTCACTCAGTAAGATTTTTGGTTCTTCATGTCATCTATTCAATATTTCCAGTAGAAGCACTACGTTAGATACTTTGAGCTACCTTAGAAGGTCAGTGCTTTTAAGGATAGGAGCAGCAGGTGAGAAGTATTTATGTAACTCTTATCTGGAATTTGTTAGGATTTTTCTTTTTCTTTTTTTTCCCCCCATCTTATTGATATATCAAAGTGTGTCATGGCTGTCCCAAAAACAATGCTTGGAGTGAAGCCTATTTGTGACAGTGAGAAAAACATTTATCTGAATTCATGCTTAGCRCTGACACATGACTGCTTTAGGCCAAAAATAAGCATGTATTCAGGGTTCAGCGTATCTGTGACATACTCCATAGGCTCAGGAACCAGTGAGATCCTATGATCTCCCAATGAAATCAGCACAAGGGTCTGGAACATCTCATATTCTGATAATGAAGACCTGACCACTACTTGTGACACCAGTGTATTGTAGGATACCRTTTAACTAATCAAAATCCTCCCGATCTTAGTAAAACTCCCAAAGAGCTGTGAATTCAGAACAGTAGAGAACAAGGCGGGGGGGGGGGATGACAATCTGAGTAATGACAGAATTTTGAAAAGCTAAGGGAGTTAAAATTCTGAAATTCCATTTTTGAATAGTGCTTACGTGGCCAGGGTCAAATTTGAACACCTTCAAATGTTTTTCAAGGCTTTTTTTTTTTTTTTTTTTTTAGAAATCCATATGTAAATGTCCATGTGGTAGAACCTAAGTTTAAGGCATCCTGTCACTGCCGTGAGGTGAAAATCCAGATTTATCTGTATAATACGTAGGAAATCTTAGATTCCTAAAGAAATGGGCTAAGAGAAATCCATACCCTGAATCAGAGACTGTGGAAATAATCCACAAAATTYTGAAGCGAGACTTCTAAGCCCCACATGCCAGAGAGACAGTTAAGTGTCTAATTCTGGCACGGTGGGAGGAACCAATCATATATCATAATTCACTATTTACCCCTCCCTAGTGACATATACCCAAAGCAGGTCAGTTTTTAATTTCCCATAAAAAAATGGGGAAGTGCTGTACTTTTACCAAGGGTAAAAGGAGAGCAATTTCCTGGAATGTGGAAGACAGTTTCAAATGCCTCTTCAACATGATGTCAGTTGAGATCTCCCAGGTGAGCAGAGTATCACGTAATCCCTATGKCTCTACTCTTGAACTGCTTCACTTTCCATAAATCATTTAACATTCAGCGGATCATGACTGAAGCCTGACAGCAAAGGAGAAGGCCTGAAAAACTAGCTCTCCTGCCTCCGCTCTTATCTAGGCAATATTTAAGAATTCTATGAAATATGAAAAAAAAAAAAAGCAAAGAGAAAACAAACCAAGAAATGGCATCCATTGAATACTCTACAGCTCCAAAGGCTTTGTGACCCTTGATCCAGATTCATATTATTGAACAAACCAAGCAGAAAAGAGATTTCACTCTGAATCTCCCATACTTGGCTATTTTGTGAAAATCTGCATGACCCTGTAGGCAGTCTCCCTTAGGAACTTAGAGGACAACAAGCACCCAACTACACAGGAGTCCAATGAGTAGAAGTCTATCACTAGGTAAGTGGAGACATTTAAAGGGATGTGACTGATTCCCCATCTGTGAATAGACTGCCACAAAGAATTTCAGATCCAGCAGATGATTTTCATGGTACCTTATCCCCTTGGCAACATTGTTAAACAACTAAATGGGTTTGTTGATAACAACTGAGTCTTTTCTGAAAATTGCATTTAATCTCCACTAAAGTGAAAYGTATAGGTTTGAATTAACCACTCTGATCTTCCTCTGTAATTGGTAGAATCYTCTTTGTATTGCATTTAGTTTGGGTGGCTTCAAAGTTAGCGTTACGGAGAATTTTTTCCTACTCTTGCATTGTGTTAGTAACGGCAGGGTGGAGGATTCAATATTGCAACACCAAGTGGGGCTACGCCAGTGAATGTAGCTCTACACTGATTTTAAGAATTTGGCTTCCAATTACTTCCCCACCCTRCAGACCTTTAATATAAACTGAGAGATCCACAATATGATCAGCTCTGCAAAAGGAGCCCTGTCATCAGGTTGCCACTGCAACAACTGCAGATGTCTGAACTGACAAAAACCATCCTTCTGGATGGTGAAATCACCAAACACAAAGACACTGTCTCTGTATTGTCTCCACAGTGATGTATTTCATGTAACTTCGAATTCCGAGAGGTTCTGATGTCTACCTGTGCAGGTACAAAATATGTGGTGGTACCACTTCTTGCTTTTATCTCTAGTCCATTCTGGACTATTCATGTTGCCAAAGACAACTTAGAGCAATCACGGTCCTGCTATGTCATCCTACCAAAACTAAATAAATATATTACTATTAAAAAAACCTCATGAGTTCTTTGTGATTTTCCTTCTCCCTTCAAAAACGTGCTTTTATGCAACTTTACTTAAGAATCTCGAGCTAGAAGCCAGAAAAATAGCACTTTCCAACCTCAAAGTAACCACAGAACACTTAATGAATGCATTACCATCTGTCAAATGCACAGAGTGAGGTTCAATTTAGCTGATAATACCTAATTCACAGTGACGCTCTGTTTTCAGCAAAAGGATACTTGATGCTGAACAATGAGATTAACAAATCCTGACATGCACAGAATTATAAATAATGTAACAAAAGTTAATAATTGGCAAAATTTTG